AAACTTTAACCTTTATGTACTATCTTCCTTATACTTTACTCCTAATAAACTTTAACCTTTATGTATGTCTTCCTATACTTTCTCCAATAAACTTTAACCTTTATGTACATCTTCCTATACTTTCTCCAATAAACTTTAACCTTTATGTATGTCTTCCTATACTTTCACAAGTAAACTATAACCATTATGTATGTCTTCCTATACTTTCACAAGTAAACTTTAACCTTTATGTACATCTTCCTATACTTTCACAAGTAAACTTTAACCTTTATGTATGTCTTCCTATACTTTCACAAGTAAACTTTAACCTTTATGTATGTCTTCCTATACTTTCACAAGTAAACTTTAACCTTTACATATGTCTTCCTATACTTTCACAAGTAAACTTTAACCTTTACATATATCTTCCTATACTTTCACAACTAAACTTTAACCTTTATGTATATCTTCCTATACTTTCACAAGTAAACTTTAACCTTTACATATGTCTTCCTATACTTTCACAAGTAAACTTTAACCTTTACATATATCTTCCTATACTTTCACAAGTAAACTTTAACCTTTATGTACATCTTCCTATACTCTCTCCAATACACTTTAACCTTTATGTATGTCTTCTTATACTTTCTCTAATAAACTTTAACCTTTATGTACATCTTCCTATACTCTCTCCAATCAACTTTAACCTTTATGTATGTCTTCTTATACTTTCTCTAATAAACTTTAACCTTTCTGTACATTCATTTTTTTCTTCAGCTTGATAATAAGAATACAAATGTTCAAGTAAAAAAAGCAGAGTTCATACTTACTTAACTGTGATGATAATAATCCAATCCAAGTAAGCTATGTATTTAAAGCAAAACTCAAAATAAACCTGGCCATCAATATAGCTAATTAAATGTTTTTTCTTACATCTCTACTTATAAAGATTAAAATGCACTGTTCTATCAGCTGGATGATCAATAAGCCTTTTCTTATCAAGAGGTTAAACTTGTACACTACCAAATGATCCAAATCTGTTTAAGAATGAAAATTTCCATATCCTTAACATTCATTTCAATACATTTTATTCTGTGGTATCTAGTTACTCAATTATCAAAGTTTTAACAACAAGATAATGGGTTTTTCTAATACTAGTCAGATTTATGTTTACACATAAGATAATGGCCACTTCCCAAATCAGGTAACAGTAATGGGATCATATATTGTATCTGTACATACAAACTGTTTGAATAACAAGAACAACAACCATAACAAGAGTTTAGACATGATTCAAAGCTGAAGATATGTCCCCATATGTTCATTCTAAATCTGTTATACATTAACAAAAAATACTCCCACCCTCCTAATATATACTTTTAAAGAGAGGATATCACTGCTTTCACCTTTAAAATGTCTTTCTTCACCTGTTGTGGATAAAACACAACGAAACTCATATTTTCTTGTTTTATACAAAGAAATATAGGGGCATCACCAAATGATAACACAGTAAATACTTGCTTTTAATCTGCAATGTTATATAATGAGTACTATCTACTACATTACAACAAAACACTTTCTTTGCAAATAATTGGGGACATGATAGCAGCTTTAAATCAAGCCTAAATACTATACAAATTTTACACAACCTGCCAAGGAACTCCTTTCACTTTTTCAAAATTTGTTACTTTTCATTAACCAATGGTTCTAGTTTTCAAATTTCATAATATCAAAACACTTTGAAACAAAAACTTATCTTACAAATATCACTAGTTAATACATGGGTGTGTGTTAGTGAGTAAAAAAAACATTCGAACTCTTCAGTGTCTACTGTTTTAATGTGAAATCTGGGCTGAGCAAACAGCTAGGAAAATGTATACATAAAAGAGAATGTTATACACTTTGGTACTAGCAAGGTTGTTTGTACTTAAAAGCCCAGGGTTGAGCTTCTCTAAATCTTTAACACATCTTTACAAAAACAAAAAAAAAATCATTAATTTTCAATTCTATATACAAATGCTATCAACTCATGAAAATCCTTTTCTGTAAAGGATGAGCCTAAATTCAAGAAGGACATGAACAGTTTAGTTAGTGATTTTAAGTAGATTCTTAAATATCCTTTCATAGCCACTTGTGTTTGGTGACGTGTCAATTGGTAATGGAAACTTTGTCAGATGATTTCTTTTGGACCACCCATGTGTTTTTTAAATACCACCCAAAGTTCCACGTAAATTCTACAAACTGCTATCTTTTCAACAAATTTAACCAACTTTCAGTTAAAGGCACAGGTACATGAGGAGTGAGCCATTTTTAAAATCTGAATCATACAATGAAAAAATTGTCATACAGTGTTGATGCATGCTCTTCTTTAGCCTAACACTCACTTGTAGCCTAGTACCAACCTGTTAGTCTTGGACTGGCCATCTTGTTCAATACTTTATTATATTCTAACTCTTAAACACCAATAATAATTGCAGCAACCTTCAGAACTAAGCATACTCCTTTCAATCAGAAATCTATGAATGTGTGAATTTTCGGGCACAGGATTCATCAACTTGTGATGGACTACTTATACTACACCCTTACAATACGTCTAACTGTCACTTTTCAAATATACATTTTGTGATTTCTTGTATCAATTTGAAGAAAGTGTGGGAGAGGCTTATATCTTATGCAATGAATGATGTTATCATCTTTAAAAAGATAAACACAATTTTAATACATATTCCATTAACTTAAAAAAAATGAAAAGAAACAATATATATTTTTCCACCGGTTTGATAAAACAAAAAACTGTGTTCAAGACAATGAGTTCACATTTTCTATTCTCCCATAAAGCTATTACCGGGTAAACTGTAGTACACTTCGGATACACATCATAAGCTCAAGCTATTTACATTATAGCAACACGTATTAAATGCTTACATACTGTTATTCTTAAATTCAAAATTCTTATCTCCCCCCCAAAAAAAGTTGCAGTTCACAGTTTTAGAAATTGTCAAATTTAAAGCAAAATATTCACTCATTTAAAATAATGATAACAAATAGTAACAGTGACTTAAGTAGGCCCAATTATTTTACATAAATCTACATTGAAACAAATTTAAAAGCAACTCTTAATGTAACTCTGTCTCTTAAATATCCTACAAAGCAAAGCACCACTAACATTTGTACCACAGTAGTATTTTAACAAAACAAATATATAATGCTGAAACCTATAATTTATAATTAACTAATTACTTATTCAAAATCCTCTGCAAATATAACTTTCACAATGATTGTTATGGAAAAATAAAGAAAACAAAAAAGGAGAGAAATAAAAATTAAATTTTTACTTCTTGTTGTGACGTAGCTTGGATTGAAAGTAAAAGAAATTAGTTACAGTTATGCTGGAACTGAACACCTGTTCAATACAATGAAATTTGGATGCTCTATACACTAATCCAAATAGCATCTGGAACAAGAAATATAAAAATTACTTCACAAAATATTATCCTTATTACACACAAAAAGCAAAAACACAACAAAAGAACATGTGTATCTATTGGTCCCTCTCGAACAAGAGACTGACACAAAAAAACCATAAACAAACACCGCAAGCTAATAAAAATTTTCAAATGTTACAAAACAGTGGAATGAAAACAGATGTTCTCTAGTTGCTTAAACATCATGAATGATGTGATTATCAGTTCAGAAGTATGCAGAGTTTGTAAGAACTCAACACACACACTTTTTTTTTTCTTTGGCAAACTTAGAAATGGCATGAATGTATATGTAATCTGCTAATAATGTTTTAAAGCTCATCTTCTAGATTCACAAGTTACTTTCTCCCTATAAACAAAATCACAACCTACCCCTACTGCCTATAAAAGAAATGTCTAGAAGCTCTGAAGTTCTCTTCTGCAAGTCTAATTTATTTGATTCAGTTTAATTAGTCAAAGAATCAGGACCAAACATCCATTTACTAAGTCTATGAAAGAACTCTAAAAGCAGACTAAAATATTGCTCTTTCAGACATTCAGGTAAAATAATCCCTGTATTAAGACATATTTTACGTGTGTTACAGATTTCATCACAACAGACCAGTGGTGAACTCAAAGATTTACTTTTCTATACAATTTATACGAAAACATCTTAAAAACAACAAGTAGAACATGTCACTTTAAGGTATAATCAATAGTAACAAACATTATTTTGGTAACTTTGATGAATCAAATAGGTTTTTGTTCAAAATAAGGTGTAGCAAGTCACGCACTATTTTCTCAATAACCAGATTGTTTGAATATGTTACCTATAATACCTTCTTTCACACGGATTCCTAACCAAGGATTATAAAACTACTCATTTACCGGTGAAGTTATACTGTTTGACTTTAAATTAAATATAGATGTTGTAAATGCATAAACTATGATCTTTTCATTGAATAAAGTTTATAGTTAATTAAACTGTAGTAATCAAATAATCACTGGGACATTTTTCCTGGTACTCTCAAACACTTTAAATTCAGACATTATTAAACAAGACAGAAATTACATAGAACGGGTATGATATGTGGTTATTTAAAAACAGATTAGGTCTAATCTGTTAACTCTAAGGTTTCAAATACTAAAGTTGTAAAACAAAACAAGTAAAATGATTACATTTAATTATCAAAAACCCTCAGCCTGTTAAAACATAATCCAAACAAGCATCATCTTGGATAAGTGATCAGTTTTTCTTTCATCAGTTCCCTGGGAGTTATGGTTAAATACTAACAACAAAAACTGTAATAATATATTTATTAACTAACACTTAATGGGGTTTCAATTTATGTTAATGTACTTTCTTTCTATAAACAAATGTTTAGTTAAAAACTAAATATTGAGGAGACTGTCTTTAATAGAAAATGTTTTCGAACTATTACAACTAACAAATAAGCTGATTTTTCTTAATGTGTTGAAAAACTCTTATTTTTGATACACATTCTTCCCGTATTTGTTAAGGAATATTCAAAGTTAGGAATAAACAAATTATTGTAAACAGTACATTCAGGACGATTATGTCCAAAATTATCCAAACTGACTTTCTCCACAGCCATGATGCCTGATTGCACCAAATGAGCTTGGTGGCCTGCAGTTCGAGATGCTCTCTTAAATCTTAAGAGCAGCTGCTTTTGAGTAATTGTAAGGGAAATCTCCGAACAACTTTCTTGTTGTCAAGACTGCTTACATGAACTGAACCTTTTAACACTTATACAACTAGGAAGCTTCCGTTTAGGTTTCTTGTTCCGTTTCTTGGAAGATGAAGCATCCATCTGACGCATTTCTGAAAAATAACACCATTATCAAGTTTATAATTATATCATTCAAAAAAGATTAATCCTTATAAAAGATAAATAACTCTAATTTCAAAACATTATTTATTAATAAAAGTACAATTCAAAGAAATAAAAAAAGGTCGATCATGTACAATCTAAAAATCTGTGATTAACTCCTTAATAAATAAGATTGAGGGCACCAACTTATGATATCAAATTATTTCAGTATAAGAGTTCAGAGAGCCCTTTTGTTGCTTGTCACTTTGGAAAAACTTACAAATACATACATTAATAAACAAACAAAAGTTTCACAAACTAACTACATACAGGTAAACTGTGCATTTGCAACAAAATGTTAATATTATAATGTTAATTAATCTGTTCACAGACAGCAGAGTGAGCATTAGTTATATATTTGTATAACATAAAAAAATATAGGGAAAAATTGTACAGAAGTATGAAAGCTGTATAAATATGTTCTTACTCCAGACTTACCTTGAAGATCATGTTCTGTGATACAGAAGTATGAAAGCTGTATAAATGTATTCTTACTCCAGACTTACGTTGAAGATCATGTTCTGTGATATAGAAGTATGAAAGCTGTATAAATGTGTTCTTACTCCAGACTTACGTTGAAGATCATGTTTTGTGATACAGAAGTATGAAAGCTGTATAAATGTGTTCTTACTCCAGACTTACGTTGAAGATCATGTTCTGTGATACAGAAGTATGAAAGCTGTATAAATGTGTTCTTACTCCAGACTTACGTTGAAGATCATGTTCTGTGATACAGAAGTATGAAAGCTGTATAAATGTGTTCTTACTCCAGACTTACCTCGAAGATCATGTTCTGTGATACAGAAGTATGAAAACTGTATAAATATGTTCTTACTCCAGACTTACCTTGAAGATCATGTTCTGTGATACAGAAGTATGAAAGCTGTATAAATGTGTTCTTACTCCAGACTTACCTTGAAGATCATGTTCTGTGATGTATTCCTCAGAAGCTTCATCACCTTCATCGGGTCCATAGTGTAAGTCCTGAAGGTAGGGAATGACTGACATACTTCGAAATTCATCTCCATTTGCACGCTGAGGAATACACACTTCCTGTGTGATTCGAGGATGCTTCTTCCTCACCCAACTACAATGAAGATATTAACAAACTTCAAAGAAAGGATTTAATTATGCTAATATTAATTAATACATTTCATATAAAACTATCATGGAAATATGAATTACATCTTCACAATTTGTAAAAAAATATATAAACTTATAACTGCTAGCTGACATACAGAATATAAGTCACTATTAAAGAGATCATGAATGTTAAAATCATAAGCTAAATATACAGAATATAAGTCAATATTAAAGAGATCATGAATGTTAAAATCATAAGCTAAATATACGGAATATAAGTCAATATTAAAGAGATCATGAATGTTAAAATCATAAGCTAAATATATGGAATATAAGTCAATATTAAAGAGATCATGAATGTTAAAATCATAAGCTAAACATACAGAATATAAGTCACTATTAAAGAGATCATGAACGTTAAAACCATAAGCTAAGCATACAGAATATAAGTCACTATTAAAAAGATCATGAATGTTAAAATCACAAGCTAAACATACAGAATATAAGTCACTATTAATGAGATCATGAATGTTAAAATCATAAGCTAAACATACAGAATATAAGTCACTATTAATGAGATCATGAATGTTAAAATCATAAGCTAAATATACTGAATATAAGTCACTATTAAAGAGATCATGAATGTTAAAATCATAATCTAAACCTTTCCTGATCATAACCAAAAATTTACAAACAAAAACTATTCTTAACATTATCCCCAAATTTACAAACAAAAACTAGTCTTAACATTATCACCAAAATTAACATAAGTCAGTATTAAAGAGATCATGAATGTTAAAATCATAATCTAAACCTTTCCTGATCATAACCAAAAATTTACAAACAAAAACTATTCTTAACATTATCACCAAAATTACAAATAAAAACTAGTCTTAACATTAACAGCAAAATTACAAACAAAAACTAGCCTTAACATTATCAGCAAATTTACAAACAAAAACTGGTCTTAACATTATCACCAAATTTACAAAAAACTTACAATAGTTATCTTTCTTCATCAATATTTTTGTGCTGAACTAATCTTGTTAACAGCTAAGCATTTAGCTACAAAAATAAAATCTTGCAAACATTTATTTTGCATAAATGTAACTTGTTACAAACGTTTTCAAATTTTGCAAGTAGGTTATTTCTGAACCTATATGCTTGACACAAATATTAATACACTCAAGAGAACTTCAGAAAAATGTGAAGCATTTTAACCTAACAATTAATTTGAAAAATATGGCTATGATATGGAAAAGTTATGTTGACTCCTGATATTAAACTGTTTCTACAAATTCTATGCCTGGGATCCCATATTAATTTGGCTGGTATCAACAGTGGCTCAGCAGCAAGCTTAAAGGCATATAACATTTAAGTTCAATCTTCAACCCATGTGGAGGGCACAGCACAGATAGCCCATTGTGCAAGTTTATGCTTAAAAAAAGAAATTCTGCTACTTGTTATGAGTTAAGGATCATTAATCATTAGCTTGAAATTACTATATTACATTCAGAAAGCTGAAAAGACAGAATTAATGCCTAATAAAAGATAAGAAATTATATTATAAATTAATGTTTACGTCTTTTATGGAAAATTTCAAGAACTTCTACTAACCCATCTTACATTTAACACTGCTAAGGTTCTCATTCTCGGAAAAGAAATTATTAACTCATCTTACGTTTTACACTGCTAAGGTTCTCATTCTTGGAAGAAAAAAAATAATTAAAAATTATCAAACTACATGTATCATTATGATTCAGATTCATTCCTTGAACAAGTCTTTATTACCTAATCTTACATTATTAAACTACTTATAACATCATGATTCAGATTCATTCTTTGAACAAGTCTTTACTGGCTAATTTTACATTATTAAACTACTTAAAACATCATGATTCAGATTCATTCTTTGAACAAGTCTTTACTGGCTAATCTTACATTATTAAACTACTTAAAACATCATGATTCAGATTCATTCTTTGAACAAGTCTTTACTGGCTAATTTTACATTATTAAACTACTTGTAACATCATGATTCAGATTCATTCTTTGAACAAGTCTTTACTGGCTAATCTTACATTATTAAACTACTTATAACATCATGATTCAGATTCATTCTTTGAACAAGTCTTTACTGGTTAAATTTGCATTATTTAGCTTTTATATATATAAAATAAATTATTAACCCATCTTACGTTTTACACTGCTAAAGTTCTCATTCTTGGAAAAAAATTATTAATCCATCTTACGTTTTACACTGCTAAGGTTCTCATTCTTGGAAAAGAAATTATTAACCCATCTTACATTTAACACTGCTAAGGTTCTCATTCTTTGAAAAGAAATTATTAACCCATCTTACATTTAACACTGCTAAGGTTCTCATTCTTTGAAAAGAAATTATTAACCCATCTTATATTTAACACTGCTAAGGTTCTCATACTTGGAAAAAAATTATTAACCCATCTTACATTTAACACTGCTAAGGTTCTCAAACTTGGAAAAAAATTATTAACCCATCTTACATTTAACACTGCTAAGGTTCTCAAACTTGGAAAAAAATTATTAACCCATCTTACATTTAACACTGCTAAGGTTCTCATTCTCGGAAAGAATTATTAACCCATCTTACGTTTAATACTGCTAAGGTTCTCATTCTAGGAAAGAAATTATTAACCCATCTTACGTTTAATACTGCTAAGGTTCTCATTCTCAGAAAAAAAATTATTTTTCATATCCACTCGAAAAGAAAATAATAAGAAAAAAATTACTGTTTTACCTTGTGTATGTGAAAGAATGAACTTTTTATTGTCCTTTGTGCCAGGTAACAAATATACATATATAGTTATAATAATAAACAATTAAAAGTCAATAAATAATTTTTATAACAAAGAGTGGATGTAAAGAATGGTTCAAACCCCAAATGTTTTTATTACATTTCCAGATTTTCTTATCATCTCTTTTTTTCATGTAAGTGGGAATCGAAAACTGAAAAAACTATTACAAATATTTACTAAAAAAAAAACAAATACGTGTTTAATCACATTTCTCTGTATCTCATCATAACCTTTTAACCAGTGAAGTCATTTGTTTTTATTCAACAATCAAAAGCAGAACTAGCACTAATAAAATCCACCTGATATAACACTGTTCCACTGTACACACATTTCAGCAATATAAAGAACCAAATGTCTTACAAAACTCTTTTTCTTTTTACTCACTCATGTTGTCTTATCTGTTTAATAGCCAGCCTCTCTTGAGGATCCTTCTGTAGCATACCTGTATATATTCAATTATTATGATGAAAATATACCTTAAAAAACCAGTGTGATAATACATTAATATTATTATAAAAAGGTACTTATAAAATGCTGCAATAATACAATATCCTTTTGTTCATCATACAACAAAAATGTTTTGTTGTGTCCTGTCAACTGTACTAATCTTGCATTTACAGGTGAAAATATTCTGAGCAGCTCTTTACATCACAGTAGGTATTTCATTTAGCATCATTTTACAGCATATGTTGTTGTGAAAATCATTTGCAATTTATAATATATATGCTATTTTTTAAGAAAAAAGTATAAATGAAAAATATGTAGTTTGTTTCAAGAAGTTCAAACAAAGAACTCTATATACAATGAAAGATACAGCTTGCCTCAATAAGTTCACTTAATCAAACAAGAAGTACAAGACATACAACCAGAGGAACAAAGTGAACACTCAGCTTATGATTTAGAAATATTTCACATTGATGGAATTTTTATTTGACAATTACAACATCTCACTTCTTAAGTGACATAAACATTGTAGACACATTTATTTATGTTAGTGAAACACGCTATCAACATGATTCTAAGTTCACAGATTTCCCAGGTTCACTTATTTGAAACAATACACACTTCTTAAGTGACATAAACATTGTAGACACATTTATTTATGTTAGTGAAACACACTATCAACATGATTCTAAGTTCACAGATTTCCAGGTTCACTTATTCGAAACAATACACACTTCTTAAATGACATAAACATTGCAGACACTTTTATTTATGTTAGTGAAACACGCTATCAACGTGATTCTAAGTTCACAGATTTCCCAGGTTCACTTATTCGAAACAATACACACTTCATAAGTGACATAAACATTGTAGACACTTTTATTTATGTTAGTGAAACACGCTATCAACATGATTCTAAGTTTACAGATTTCCCAGGTTCACTTATTCAAAACAATACACATTTCTTAAGTGACATAAACATTGCAGACACATTTATTTATGTTAGTGAAACATGCTATCTTCATTATTCTAAGTTCACAGGTTAACTTATTCAAAACAATACACACTTCTTAACCCTTTTGAAACAGAACCCCTATAAATGCTTTTTCCACAAGTCACTGTGTTACATTCAAACTTTAATTTAACACCTTTAATATCAGTTTGCCCCTGAAGAAGAAAGGTCCACCTTTCAAAAGCCCTTGGATTATAGGGTTTTTATCATAATGTATGTGAATGAAATTAAAATTGTAATATGTGTTACGATTCGAGGTTATATTTTATCCAAGTTTAAAGTCCTTTATTTCGAAATAAGCCTTTCAAAATTACTTAAAACTTCAGATGTATTGTCACATGACCAACAAGCTATGAAATTTCTCTACTTTGATGCTCTGTATCTTCAATAATACAATGGTAGTACTGTAGAAGTATGTCTAAACTAGATGCTAAGATAATCTTTTGACTCTTTCAAAGTTCTCTGAAAGAAATAAAGTTGAAACAAGCAATAATTTATTTTAACCTCTGACAGCTGCCATGCCAATCTTCAACAGATCTGTTTGAACTTTATAGCCATATGTAGATGTTACATACACTTGTGTATAATCATTAGAAAGAGGTCATTTTTATACTATCAACTAACAATGGTTATTTTGAAATTGGCAAGCAGTTGTCATCATGCATTATATGAATTTGACTCTAGTACTGTTGGCTGCTTGATTGACAATAGCACTTACAGTTGTTTCTTACCTAAATATATTATTGTTAGAGAAACAATTTAAACTGGACTTAGGTCTTACTTTTATATTTTAGTAATTATGTATTAGATATGTTGCAAAACGCATAATTAAAAGGTTTAAACATTTTTCAAATATGCATCATACTTTGCTTCTGTTCTCAAGGGTTATGATATTTTACACTGAACAAATTTTGTCAAAGGCTTGCGCATGTCTCTCAATGAAATTTTAATATGCCTAAGAGGGCACTGTTGACTCATGTGAAGATGAATAATAAGTGGTAAAGGACAAGAAAGGAAAAAAAACACATAAAAAATTAACTATATGTGCAAAAGAAAATACATAAAATTACGAATTTAACATAAGAAAATATTCAAAGATATTCTAAAAAAATTAAAAGGTATGTTTGTTTTTTTTCTATTTCCTGATTTTAATTATTTCATTGCATTGTACATTGATGAATAGCTAGAGTTAGTGATATGGTAGAGAAAATGAAAAATAAAATATAAACATTTACATTAAAAAAACTTTTGATATCCTTTTACGAGATTAAGCAAATTAAATATGAAACTATAAAACAAAGAAAAGTATTTTTATACTTAAAATAAAAATCACCTTGCACTCAATTTGTCAATAGTTTGAATGAGTAACTACAACAGAAAAATAACATATTTTTAGTAAAAACATTTAATTATAAAACCGTCATTATACGTATACAAGCTCCTTATGACCGTTAATACAATCTTACCAGTTTTTGAGAGAATTTGTTAGAAAATGTTAGAGCTTCCGCATGTATTGTTGTACAAGTGAAATTTGTGACTCGATTTCTGCAAATTGCACAAGCCCATTACAAAAGGGTTAAGTGACATAACCATTGTTGACACATTTATTTACGTTAGTGAAACACACTATCAACATGCATCTAAGTTCATTGATTTCCCAAGTTCACTTATTCAAAACACACTTGGCACCACTGTAGTGCAAATTATCTTCTTTAACAACTGATGTAAAGAAAAAGCTAATCCTCTAAATTTCATTAATTTGTAGCCTAATATTATCCTACCAAATACAGTTTTTTATGGATAAGCCAAAAACTGGAATTTGTTTTTACTTTAAGCTATGGATTGAGATGTTAAAACAGAGCACATATTAGACCATTAAAACATAATGCCAAAAGACAATACTTAGCCATTCTTTAACAACTAAATGTAAATGTTTGTATATGACCATTATTTTATTGTTTAATAACTACACTAGATCTATCAGTTAGAAGTAATGAAGTCAGAATGCAAGTCTAAATCAGAAAATATGTATCAGACACTGAAAACTTTGTCAATGTATACAAGTTCAACAGCAACAGATTGTGTATTATTTCAGACATCCTAATATGTATTGTTCTTCAACTTTATCTCAAGCATCTAAACATACATACATGATATTTAGTAAAATCTCACCTTGTAATAATCCCTGTAATAGCTGATCTATGTCATCTGGTATTGTAAATTCTCCTTTACCTATATTTTCAAATAACTTATAAATGTTGTCTCCTTCAAATGGGTACTTTCCTGTTGTAATATTGAATCTGAAAGGAGAAAATTTGAATATAAAATTAAATAGATATGACTATAACATCTTTATCTTAACAACTTTTGTATTACTTTCCATGTTCACTACTTTGAGATTACAGTGCACAAACGCTTATATTTTCCTATACTGAAAATGTATTTCTGATAATACTTACCTCCTCTCACACTTTAGCTTTATCCCGACAAAGTGCAGACCCCACTAATGTGCTTTGTTATATCTCAATTTTGCACACCTGTTTTTTCTACGCAGATGCTTTCTGTGTGGATCTTGCCCTTACTAGCCCCTCCACCTGGTCAATGTGGGATTCTAGCTAAAGTGTGAGAAGAGGTAATGTGGTTCGGAAGTTTACATTCTTCTATACTGAAAATGTATTTCTGATAATACTTACCTCCTCTCACACTTTAGCTTTATCCCAACGAACGTTTCTCTTCTTTGTCCGTCTAAGCATTGGTATGAATTCTACCTCACTTACTCCAGTCTTTATACTTAACTATATTGCCCATAGCAATTTTAATCTTATGACTCTCTCCACCTACATCAATGCACCCTCTATACCCAATACATATACAAGCTCCCCATTTTCATTTCTTATCCACTTTTTTGAGACTGACAAGATTATCAGACTCAAACACCAGTTATCATGGGGAGGAAGGCTAAGATTGTGTAAGAGGAGGTAAGTATTATCAGAAATACACTTTTTGGTATAGGAAAATGTAAACTTCCAAAACACACTTACCTCTCCTCACACTTTAGCTAGAATCCCACACTGACCAGGTGGAGGGGCTGGTGAGGGAAAGATCCACACAGAAAGCATCTGCATAGAAAAAACAGGTGTGCAAAATTGAGATATAACAAAGCACATTAGTGTGATCTGCACTACTTCTGGAACAGGTGTACTCTTTGCTCAGAGTAAAGGCCAACCAGCTACAGAGTCAATCTTGTTCATTATCACACGATTCATCCTGGCCCCAACCACACAGATGAGATTCCACATCTCATCTTTGGAATTATAGGGTTGTGGATACAAAGCTAAATCCAAAATGTAGTGGTTAAGGTATGGGGAACGCAGTATGATATAACTGTATAACAGGAATATGATATGAAGGGAACCCAACCTGAAAGTTACAGATAGTTGCATGTTGAGCCACCAAAATTATGAAGAGAAGGCAAGCAACACCAAAGTGGCTAAACCCTTGCTCCAACCTGAAGAAGCATAGAATGCAACAAACCAAACTTGGAATTACAGTCCCATGCACCCACACTGAAAGTTACAGAATGTTACATGCAAGCCACCAGAATTATGAATGGAAGGCTAGCAACACCCAACTGGATAAATCCCCCCCCCCCCCCCAACCTGAAGAAGCACAGAATGCAACAAACCAAACTTGGAATTACAGAGCCAATTCATGCCTCACTCAACCTAAAGAAACAGAGATCATTCAGCCATGGATTACAAACAAAAATCCTAAACTCCTCAATCTTGGAGACAGGGTAAAAACCTCCTGACCCTGGAATTATGAGGAGGATGTGGAACATATGAAGTTCAAACAATGGCTCATGGACATGATGCTCTGCATGCAGAATTGTGAAGAGTTGAGGACCCTCTTCCAGGATCATGGAAAGTAAGAGAATGACCAAAAAGATGGGCCATGTAACACAACCGATTAGCAAGGTGTCATTTCTGAACCATAATTAAGAAGAGGTTCCCACGTCAGCTGGTCCAGCTCCTCAGAAGATATCTAGGAAAACCATCCAGGGTTAAATGTGGGAGGGTATCCAGCTTTGCACTCTTCTACTTGAGTGGAATAAATAGTACAAACATCACTCAAGAGGAATATACCTCTGTCCACCACTCCAGCAAGTAGAAACTGAGAGTGGTTAGGACTTCCTAGCTCCACTAGAAGAGATGGAGGGAAACTCGCACTGGGGAGGCTTGAGGAATGATACTCCCAAGACAGTGCAATAAGTGAACCATGTTCCCTATTTTGAAAGGCAAACTAACCTTGATTAACATAGTTCGTTGCTACTAGAAATTTAGTTATTAGTCTACTGGTAGCTAATGCAGATTTGTAAAAGTATACCTAACCAGGTAACACTCGTCAATGAGTAGGATCCAAATGAATATGATGAGAAGGTCTCTGAAAAGCACAAAAGAAATGAAGTTACTCACCTCTGTGCCATTTGAGACAGGCATGTAGAATAGTCATGGGAGAATACGAAACCCATCCGAGGAGGAGAATGCTAAATCTCATAAATAGTGTAATATAAAGGTGTTACGTGTAGTCCATGTACTAGCCTGTTCAATATTCTTCATCAACTGAGCTGCCAGTAACATTGACATATGTCAAACTTGATGAGATGAGATGAGATTCCAAGAAGTCTCCGCTTCTCTGATAATGGACCAGAATAAGCTATCCAAACCAAAAGATGAATCCAACATGTCAAAATACCAAAGGATCCCAATGGAAAAACAACTGGTGATGGGAGCCCCAAAATGCTTCAGTGCACCCACGTAACCTGGGAGAGCCCAAACAGGTCATAAAAGATGATCTGGATCTAAACAGTCATATAAATGGGAAGTGGAGGGAAGATGAATAAAAGAGAAAGCCTTATCTCCTTCCCTAGCTGCTGCAGTTTCAGGTAGTAATAACCTGTCTGGATACCACAGACCATAGATGGAATGGTAGTGTTGTGTGAACATGAGGTGCAAAGTGTCATGATATAATGTTTAATGTAGGTAGTATTAATTAATTAATTTATTTATTTTATGATTCAACTGTTAGTGTTTTTTTATAATAAGAGAGTTAAAAGCAGAGGATTGTTGGAAGTTATGTTTATAATTCATTGATTTTGAGACTATTGAATGTCGTGCACAATACATTGATGTCTAGGATATAGAGATTTCTAGTAGGCAGGCAGACGATTAAGTGATAAACATATAAATAGTGTGAGACAAGCAGAAACAGCAGACAGGCAGAGCAAACATGAGATCAGAGAATAGGAAGTAGAAGTGCAGCCAAAGAAAAGGTTAGCAAAGGAAAGTTAACCATCACAGGAGTGGATAGACTAATGGCTGATGCATTAAAATGAGATTTAACAGTTTTTTGACATTTTAGGAGAATAA